GCGAGTGTTTTCTGCAGGCACTCGAGGTTCCTTAATCCCAAAAAGCAAGCATCCATCCCCTGCCCTGGAAGCCAATGCAGCTTGTACACTGGGATATCCAGATCGGCCAGGCTGCATGATCAATGCCGTGGGTGCTAATGGTGAAGGCGGCTGTGCAAAGTTACCAGCATGCATTCCGCGGTGGACACCGGATAGCAGCGGTAATGTCAGGTGCTGAGCTGCAGCGCGAGGAGGGGTTGTCACGGGTGCAATGGATGAAAACATAGCTGATCCTCCAAATGGCGCCGTCTGCTCATTGCTGCCTGACGCGTGTGAAATATCCATGCCAGATCCAGCAAAGTTTCGGCAGGTGGCTGCTGCATGCCACTGGCTGACGACTGTGACAATCTTTTGACCTTGATGGGTTATACGTGCAGCACCATGCAGACAGAGAAGCACACCCGCCAGCTGTACATATGTGCAAACCTGCACAACCAGAGAAACTTGGTCAGTTGCAAGAAAACCAAATAATCGCATCTTGTTGCAGAAGACCTTTCCAACCATGAGGTCAGTGGCTTGAGGAATTGGAGTAGGCCCATGGAGCCGCAAGAATGAGAACAATGCAGAAAATTGTGAAGCACACACGACGAGAAGAGCCTTTAACAGGAAGTTACGAAACTGGTGGCTGATTGTCGCCATGTGGTCTCTCAGCTGCATGTGATGGCTCAACATCGCAGCCATATCAACTTCGACTTCAAGAAGTTCAATGTATGCCTGCCAGTACATGAACCCATTAACAGCGGTAACGTTCAGAAAACCGCCAGATAAATCACAACTCACCTGAATTCTGATGGCTTGCATTGAGCACATAAAACGAAAGAGAACACAAACAAATAAATACACAAGCGCCTGATAGGCCCAAGAGAACTCTAGCAGAACAATCCATGCTGTGGCCAGGCCTGCGTGTGTTATTGCGTCTGCGTTGCGGGAACCAAATGGGGATGCTGATTCAGAGGAGGCAAACCAAATGACATTCTTCAGTGTCTTGATAAGCAATGCAGGTAGGATAAGTAGCATCAGTGATTTCACCAGTTTCTGCACATAAATGACTCTACACGTGATGCAATTCGAAGGATCAATAGTAATCAACAGAATTGCCGGAAAGAAAGTGGTGACACTTACGTGCAGCTCAATTGGATACTTCCTCTGGACGTTTGCAGCGTCTGATGTAAACACGAAATCCAACTGTAACACTTGTCTCAATCCTGGCTGTTGCTGCATCCTTGTCAGGAAGGTGAATGACGCAAAGCATAGGATAGTATCAATGGAGGTAACTAGTCGCTTGAAAGAATGGTCGTGGCCAGGACATGTATCAGTGCAACGAACGCTTGCGAATGATATTGCGGGGATGAGGACGCCAAATACTAGGAAGGCAGTCCACGAACATATGGAGCTCCAGGTTCCTGATTGGTCAAGACAGAGCCATTGAATGCGAGATATAAACAGGTCAAATTCCCGAGAGGCGCGAGAGGGCTGACGAATGAGCTTCATGGATGGAAACGGCCTCAGAATCCGCTCTTTCAGAGAGCGACGAGTAAGGGAGGTCGCACAGCAGGATGTGCTACTTGAACGTGAGCTGCTTGCGGAATCTGATGGTGTATGCTGAACGTTCTCAGCTCCCTCATGTTCGGGATCTAGTATTGCGCAGCTTGTGTCAGAGGTACGATTCATCGAGTTGCTGCTGGAAAGGCACTTTCCATCTGGTAACACAACGGTCTGGTCATGCTCAGCAATGGCTGCCTCCGTCATTCTCATTATGCTCACATAAGGACTACAACCAGTCTCAGAAGATTCTGAATCACGTGAAGCTGAACTGCCGCTGGAGCTAGATGCAGCTGAAGCCCAGAATGGGAAGCCGTCATTGGCTGTAGGCGAACGCGCGAACCCAGAACATCCGAACGGATCTTCGACATCAGCGATTGCTCTCGACATCATTCTGGACATTTTTAGAGGAGCTGACAAGGAGTGAGACGAGGTGTGTTTAATCTAGCTTGTAATAAACTGGGAATCCTCAATGGCAAACAAATGAGGAGTGTTGCTTGATTGTAGGAGCTTCTGATTTGCTTGGGCTTTCCTGGTTTTGAGTCTGTCGGTTTTTGTTCACATCAGCAAGGTTGGATGGGAGGGGATGGGATGGTGGTGGGGAGTTCACCTGCATGCACCTGAAAATGAGACCCCGCGTAGATGGCAGTGAAGCCCAAGAAGGCTGTTCGATCTGACATGGCGGGCAGCACGTTAGCTTCCTTTTCATGGCCCGACGAATCAGCGACCGACACAGCTCCTCCTTTGCCCGCCCCTCTCAAGATGCCCAGACCAATCATAGCTTCCAGATTGTCATGGTTCAACAACACCACACCAACCTTTAAGCCCAACCAGACGAGCCTCGGAAAGGTCGCTTTGAGCACTTACCTCTCTAACCCTCTGCGCCCTTCATCCGTCCTCTGCAATCCTCTGTATCCGCTGTAATACTACTGCTGCATCCTTATGTTCATCCGTTACTGTCTTCTGACTAGCCCCTTCGGCATCCCCTAGATTCAGATAAGGACATGCACACAAGTTGGCAGTCTCGCCAGCTGCTTTGTAGCATGCCGTTCTAGGAGGTCTTATCCATGCTCAGCTTTGTGAGAGAGGAGCGACGCGATTCGATGCAGACAATGCGGAAGGGAACCATGTCTACGCCTCGGTTCAATCACCGTGTTAGCATATTTACCAGGAAACCACCTCAGAAAGAATCAAACCTGCTATACCTTGTTTACCAGTTCCCAGGCATACAACTCCACTGCTTCTTACCTGACTGCTTTCTTTCGCCTGGGTCCCGTATAACGCTCCCACGCACTTCTTTGCACAGACCACTACAAGCGACATGGCTACTGGATCAATCTCTGTATGGTGGGATTTGGAAGGTTGTCCCATCCCCAAGGACCTTTCCCAAGAAGACGCCATCGAGAATGTCAACAGATTCCTTGAGATGAAAGGGATTCACGAGGCTTGGAGCATGAACATCTTCGGCAGCGATTACCGTGTGAATCTGGCGAGCAGCCTTGTTCCTAACGTGAAGCTCCAGCAGTATCCTCCAGGTCAGCTGGGTTGTTTTTTGCTTATTAATTTCGTTTTTTTTCCCTCCTGTGTTAAAACAACAACAAAAACAAAAAATATGCTGCCTCGTTCGTGTGTGACAGGTGAAGCAAGGATCCACGAGGCTATCCTGTTCTGGGCGCTTGATGCACGTCCACCAGCAACTGTGCTTCTCGCAGCAGCTCTTACGCCTGACCTTTCGCGCGTTTTGATGGGCCTGCAGCACCGGGATTTCCGTGTTATCCACGCTTACCCATCAGCCGTCAGTGTTGAATCTCCCAAAAATTCCAGTTCCAGACGTCAAAATCCAGCAGATCTACCGGACGTTGAAGTTGTTGACTGGGAGTATGTCTCGGCGGGATCTTCGTCGCCTGACAAGCTCAGCCTGTCAAAACATCCTCTGACCGACGTGACGCCACGGAAATTGCTCCAGTACGTCATGCAGTCACTAGAGTACGACAAGCTCCTACCCAGCGACTTCAACGTTCAAGCGCGTCTCCGCTATGTCATGGCCAAGCAAGGCCTCAAGGACATCCCCGGGTGGTCGTCGTGGAAGTTTGTTGAGAGGGCTCTTGCAGCTGGGGAAATCAAGGTCATGTCAGAAGAGTGTAACGATGTTTACCTGCCCAAGGGGAGGGATACATGCTGGCCGTGGATTGACCCTTCGTTTCCCTGTAACGTGTACGAGGATAGCATCTGGCTGGCACTTCAGAAATACCTCCTTGCTGAAGGACGCTGGGCAATGGAGTCTTCTAAAAGCAGGTAAACCATCTATTTTTCCTCTTATAAGCCTTTCAGATCCTTGTCTGTCTTTTTTTTCTCTCCCTAGTCTCTTTCTCCACGGTCTTAAATTCATTCTTAGTGTCGATCCTTGTTGCGAGCCCAGTTCCTTGTCAACGCCACAAGCTCATAGTTCATGTTTCCACACGTTCTCTCTCACCTTTTACAGGTACCATGCAGCAGAGACTTTGAAGGTAGAGGGTCCTCAGGAGCTAAGGCAGCTGGTGATGGGGCAGCTGATCCACGTGGTGCAGCTCTCAGTCACTCTCCGAGGCTGGCTGAAACCTCACCCCACCAAGTGGGCTCCTGTGCAAGTGACTGTACACGAACCTTCTCCTCGTCTGCACCCATTGGACCTTCTGTCGCCAAAATCGCTCTCAACTGCACGTGTCTCTTCAACAAAGCCCTCAGGTTACAGTGCTGCGGCTGGAGAAAATACTGCATGGTTTCAACCTGAATCCAGCAGTCGACGGATGGGAGATGAAGTCAGCAGTGTGGGAGCAAGTGCTCATCCAGGTCCTATTGCTGCTTCTGCCTCACCAACAAAGCTGATTCTGGCAGCAATTTCTTCGATCGTTTCCAGGCCAGGCCTCCCATCGCGTAACCTGCTGGGAAGAGAGCTGGCTGAAGTCAAGCCAGAGAGCCCTCCTGCTGGAAGTCCAAGTCTCAGACAAGGCACGGAATATGGGGAGGAGCAAGAATCTCAAGGAGCAGGGGAGCAGGGGAGGGAGCGTGGGAGGGCGCAGCAGTGGGAGCAAAGGCATGGCGTCAGTGGCATGGGTGAGCAGGAGGTGCTAGTGGTGCCAGTGAAACCATGGGATGAAATTCTCAAGGTGGCTGCATCCCCTTCTGAAGGTGCGACAGGGGAGGGACGTAGTCCCGCCTGGGAAGAAGAACGACCCAGATGCAGCTGGCGAAGCACCCCAAGGTCAGCAGCAGCAGCAGCAGCAGCGGATGTAGTTGAGTCGCCTGTCAGCTCTCCTTCGCCCATGTCTTGGTGCCGCAGGCAGAAGCTCCAGGAGTTCCGTGAATTCGCTGCCAGGGTGCTGCTGAGCCAGTCGCATGGGATTCAGTTGGATCAGCTTCAGAGGGAGTGTGCCCGGAAGATGCCGCGAGGATTCAACCCTGAGGCTTTGGGATTTGCGAGTCTGAGGGACGCGCTGGAGAGCATGAAGGATCTCGCACAGTTGGAGGCGTTTCCTGGAGGGTTCGTGCTGGTCTTTGCCTCTGATGAGCTGAAAGGCGCAAACTTAGAAGGGTGTTCGTCGCCTCTTGCCAGGGCTGTATCTGCCTCACCCTCTGCTGCCAGATCAACCACCTCCTCTGATCCGGTGTCTTCTGCACTTCCTTCTCCAAATCCAAGATTTTCTTCTCAGCTAGCCGCTGCTGGTTCTACTACTGCTGCATCTAGTGGCTGCACACCCAGCAGTGCTCTTTACCCGTCCACGCCCACTACTCCACGTGCCTCACCTCCCCCTGTCCCCAAGCCCCGACCCGAAGGTTATCGCCGCTTCGACATCAGCTGGGGCGGCGAATCCTCGTCACCGTTCTCCCCACGCTCCTCCCCACACTCCTCTTCCCTTCGCTACAGAGAGCCACCCTCTTCAGAGAGGAAACCCGTGAAGGAGAGTGCCCTGGGGCCCTCGTTCTCTTCACCCCTGAGCCCCTTCACAAGCCTGCCCTCACCTCGTTCACTCGATGCATCACCGTCTCCCCGACCACTTGGAGCATTCAAAGCACATCAGAGGAGGCCATCTGGGCTGGGAGAGGAGGAACAGTTTTGGATCAAGGGAGGGAACCAGCCTTGGGATGAGGGTAGGGGTTGGGGCGAAGGGAAAGAATGGGGCATGGGTGGTGGGTTGCGGGAGGAAGTTGCTGCACTGGGGTCTCCTTTTGGTAGCAAATGGCGCACAGAGGGGAGGTGGAGGGAGGTGAGGGAAGTGAGAGATGTTCGTGAGGTGAAGGAAGTGGAGGAGGTGCGAGAAGAGTTGAGGGATGAGGTGATCAAGGGGGAACAGGAAGCACCTGGAGCTGTTCGCCCTGAAGCAGGACCCTTCATGCAGCCAGCCTTGTTCTCCTCCTCTACTGCCACCTCTGATGCAGCAGGTTCATCATCCATCTTGAAAAACCCATCGTCTGTGTCAGATGCAGGTGTCTCAACACTTCGCAGCAGGGCAGTGCCACCGCCGCGCCTTGAGCTTCCACTTGCAACTGTTGCTGCAGAAAGCGTGACAGAAGGCAGCAAAGGTAACCTCACAGAGAGCAACAGGCCGGCCAAGGCATCAGCGCCTGCAAAAGGCAGAGCAGCAGATGGGGGAAAGGCCAGAGCGATTCACAAGGCAGAGCTGATGAGGAGTGATTTGAGGCAACTGCTGCAAGAGGTACTGTCAAAGCCAGGGGTGCACAAGACAGGATACCAGCTCGCGTTCCTCAAGGGTGCTTTCCTGCAGAAGTACGCGTACCCCCTGGATCACACTGTGCTGGGCTACCCCAAGCTAAAGGCGCTGCTGCTGAGCATGGAGGATGTTGTCCATGTGGCGGCTGCTCCTGGGGGTCATGGGGTGCTCTTTCCTGCCAAATCTGCTAAATCTCTCCAGTCTCCTGCAGCTGCATCACCATCCGCATTGTTGTCATCACCAACATCTTCAGCTGCAGCGGCAGCGGCATCAGCAGCAGTGTCAGCATCGTCAAGGCGAGCCTATAGCAAGGCGACAGAAGCAGGGGTTCAGACTGCTGATGTGGCAGTGAAGGAGGTGGTGAAAGCTGCCACGCACTGGCAGGTGAAGGCGCAGCATGGTGGTGAGGGGAAAGAGGCTGCAACCTCAGCTGCACCCCCAGCTGCACTCTCAGCTGCGCCCTCCCCTACTGCACCTGTATCAAGCCCTCTGTCGGCTTGTTTTCCTGAAGATGAGCACTCAATGTCAGCTCCAGACCCTGGTAGCCTGGTGCATGAACAACCCATGGAGGTGTCACCCGTTGTGGTGGAGGGCACGGAAGAATTGGATGAAGGGGAAGGGTCACCGGAAGTTGTGGCTCTGGTGTTGGCTAGTTTAGAACTGAAGCGGGAGGGTTCTGCTCCTGTAGCACCACATGCCGATGAGGATGACGTTGATGCCAGGGAAAGGGGTAGGTGGTGTTCAACCATGTAAACTGCAGCACCTGCTTTGCCGTTCATTTTTTAGGAATGCCATGGACAATCTGTTTTGTGGATTTTCTTTTGGAAATGGCAGGATCTGAATTTACTTCATTTTCATTGTATTCTTCCTACTACCGCAACTGTTCTGTATTTCTTACTTTGCTGACACAGCCCCACAGTGCTAGAGCTTTGCTGGCCTAACTTGGCAATGACGTGTCGGCCCGTCAGACGCTGGCACTGCTGCACTCTTGTGTGTTGCGAAATTCAGGGATGAGACTCCCCTGCGACACGTCCGCCGCAGTGCTACGGGACTCCCTAGCCAGCAGTATGGGCACCGGCAATGCAGAGCACCGGCTGGCACTGCCCTGGATATTACGTTCACCGCATTGCACCACTCGTCTTGTCGTTCAATGCTAACTCGGTACCTGCTTCCATGCACCACCATTTTTGTGCACTGCACAACTCTCAAATGTCTGCTTCAGATTTTTGTCTACGATAATCAATTTCTTGCTCTGCTTTGCTGTCGTCCATCGCTAGAACACAGGGCTCAAGCTATCGAAGCAGTTATAATAAGTTCCGACCAGTAACCCAGCTATTAGTGAGGCTCTACGCAATCTGTTTCTTCGTTTCGGCGTTGTTTCTCTTCTGTTCACGGTTTAGCCAGGCAATAGAATAATCCTCTACCGTACACAACCATCGTCGCCTTACTTTTGGCCAGCGATGGAGGCTGTCTCTCCAGACACAGCAGAGCGGCTCGTACCGTGCGCCAATGCTGCCAAATCACCCGAGCCTGGCGCGCGAGAGAGCATTCAGAGCATGTGGGACGAAGAGCTCAGCCGCGCGAAATGCGCCGTGCATGGCGGAGACTGTCAGGGAGGGAACGACGGGTGCGCTCCAGCACTCAAGGAGCTTAGCGGAGGGGGGGCCTCCGGGGATGCTTTGGCTGGTCGAGGTGGCAGTGTGGGAGTGCCACGTGGCGTTCAGCAGCTGTTAAACGGGGCCTTTTCTGCCATACCTATCTTGTCCTTCCCACTTCCGCCAGGTGGAGAAGGTATGCCGACTCTTTTCAATAAAAAAGAAAAGAAAAAAACAAAACAAACCGCGGTGTACAGGCTGAAGAGAATCACCTGCCAGAAAAGCATTAACGTGTCGGGTTACTCCCTCATTCCTTCCGTTCATTCCATATGTATTGCCCAATGATATTATAATGCCATACACCCTAACATTGGCTTTGAGCGAGTAATTTCCTGCTCTCTGCCCTCCTCTCCCGCTTTTTTTCTCTTCCCTCGCAATCATGTTCTGCCGCTCCCCTTCCAGTCGTCGAGATTTCATCTGACACGTCCATTCTCGAAGCCGTGCGCATCCTGTCCGTCCATCGCATTCTCTCTGCGCCAGTCCGCAACGCCAGGCTCACAGGCGCAGCTCCAGGGACAGGGCCACGTGGGGCAGGCGGGGGAGGGGTAGAGGGAGGAGGGGGAACAGGTGGAGCAGGAGGGTCAGGATTGGGGTTAGAATCCGACATGGCGTGGTCTGATCGGTACCTAGGAATGGTAGACTATGCAGGTGTCATGATGTGGGTGTTGCAGCAGGCTGACCTGGCAGCTGCCACGCTGGCAGCAGGCACCGCGGCGTTGACAGGTGCCGGCGTGGGAGTGGTGGGGGCGCTAGGAGCAGCAGCGTTGGGGGTGGGAGGCGCACCGCTGGCAGTGACTGGCGTGGCGGCAGCAGCAGTGGGGGCGGCGGTGGCAGGGGGGTTGAGGGAGAGGAGGAAGTGGGGTGGAGGGAGAGGGGGCGGCGCTGCTGCTGCTGCCGATTCTCTTGGTGTGGAATTTTTCCACATGATCACTGAAAATGAGCCTTTTAAGTCAGCTACAGTAAGTGCTGCTGTATGAGAGGCATCCGTTCAGCTACAGTAAGGCCTTGTGTGTAAAGAGGACACTTCAGCACCTCAGGGCAGGCACCTCAGCCACAATAAGCACCATTGTAAATGTCAGGGACACTACAGGCAAGCATGTCATAAGGGGATTTTGTTTTCTTCTTGAACCCCTCCCTTCAAGCGGTTGGTGTCTTCAAATTCCGCTTTCCCTTTCCTGCCACCCCTCCGCTCAGGTGGCTGACATCACACGCAGCTACCGCTGGGCGCCCTTCCTCCCATTGCAGCCGACCGACTCGATGCTCACGCTGCTGCTGTTGCTCTCGCGCTTCCGCATGCGCTCTGTGCCAGTTGTCGCCCTCGGATTGGCCCCTCCGGCCCCTCGCCTGCACAACCTGATCACACAGTCTGCCGTGGTTCGTGGCCTTGCGAGGTAAAGCCAGGAACACACGAGGAAAAAAAAAAAAAAAAAAATGAGGAGAAGACACTTGATTGTCCTTTGAGTGAACGGTGTTTCATGTTGCTATGCTGTCAACTATGCTCAACCCAGCAGGCAAGGTGAAGGTGAAAGGCCCGCATAGCCTTGAGCTGCCCCTTGTTCAAGTAGAGTGTTGAGGGTACACTGCACAGCACTTCCTTCTTTTGTCCTCATCCACCCTCGTTCCCTCCCTCCCTCCCTTTCTCCCTCCCCTGCAGTTGTCGTGGATTTGACTGGTTTGATGTGATTGCAGACAAGCCTCTTATGGCTCTGGGCCTGCCGCTTGTGGGGGAGAAGGAGGTGAGCTCCTGTGATATAGCTGACCTGCTAGTCGGTGTGAACTCATTAGTGCTGCTGAGGCAGTTTTTGTTTCTATCTTTCTTTGTTTCCCCCTCTCGCCAAGCTTGTTGACATGAGATGCCTCTCAAAAAGACAAACAAAATTGTAACAGAAACGAGTGCGCACGCAGGAAACAGAATTAATTTTTTTTTTTACACACACAGACACACGCGCACACACACACACACACACACACACACACACACACACACACACACACACACACACACACACAACAAACTCCTGTCAACACGACCCTTGCATCACCAGGTGGTGTCAGTGGATGCGGGTGCGTTGGTGCTGGAGGCGTTTCTTCTCATGAAAGAGAAAGGGGTTGGGGGTGTGCCGGTAACCGAGGGTCCAGATTGCATCCTGTACGCCAACATCAGTGCAAGGGACGTGGGACTATTGCTGCTGCACCCAGACATGTTCCATTCCAGGAGGTGAGGATGCCCTTCTTGTACTACAGTTTTGTGAGGGGTATTCCCTTTTTTGTGCCTGTGCTTTGGTAAGGGTATTCCGATGTTGCATATGTACATGATTCATTGAAGGCAAGAATTTGGATGCAAGCAAGTCAAGGGAGCAGCAGTGAGCTTGCTGCTGCACATCCTGTACTGCCATGAAGCATGCACTCCCAGTACAGAACAGAAGATTACGGGCATGCTCGTCAACTCCTCTTCAAGCACTCCCTGTCACTCCCTTGAGATCATTTCCCCTCCTTCCCCTCCTTCCCCTCACTCCCCCAGCTCTCACTCTTCCCTCGCAGCCACTGGACCGTGTGTGGATTTGTGGACCACTGCCTCGCCCTGCATGCCCTCTCACACAATCGAACCCTTGAAACCATTCTCCCTTCCCTCCCTCTCTTCCCTTACCTCCTCCGCATGAGCCCCAGCCTCTTGACCGTGCGTGAATTTGTTGACCACTGCTTGCCCTGCAAGCAGCAGGCTGGGGGAATAGAAACCTTATCTCTCTCCCCCCTCCGCTCCCTTCTTGATCTGCCTGCACCTGAGCCCGATTTTTGTGTTCTTTCCTTCCCCTTGCAGCCACTTGACTGTGCGGGAATTTGTTAACCCAGCCTTGCCCTGCAGGCATGTTGGAATGCAAACCTTTCCTCTCCCTCCCACCCTCCACCCCTCCTCTGCATCCCCTTCTTGTACTCTTTCCTTCCCCTCCCAGCCACTTGACCGTGCGGGACTTTGTTGACCGCTACCTCGCCCTGCAAGCAGCAGAGATGCACATCCTTCTAGTTGCGGGTGGCTTTGGGGAGCTTTCAAGCACCACCATCATTCTCCCTCCCTCCCTCTCCCCCACGCTCCTCCCCCCCGCAGCCACTTGACCGTGCGGGACTTTGTTGACCGCTGCCTCGCCCTGCAAGCAGCAGAGCTGCACGTCCCACCTTCCTCCCTCGCAGCAGCTGACCTCTCTGCAACCACCAGCACTGCTCCCACCCCTACATATGCCACAGGGGCTGTCAGCGGCACCACCATTACCACCACTATACCACCTGCCGGCCCCACCAGTAGCACCATTGGCAAAGCGGGCAGCAACACCAGTGACAGTGTTAGCGGCGACAGCTACAGTACAGTGGGGTCGATGCGCCCAGCTGTTTCCTGCCGACGCACAGACAGCCTCGTGTCTGTGATAGAGACGCTGGCAGGGAAGGGCATTCACCGCATGTATGTTACTGACGACCACGGCCGGCTGCAGGGTGTGGTTACATTACGCGACATCATTTCCCGGTTCGTTACGGAGCCAGAAGGGTATTTTGATAACTTTCTTGGGGATATGGCCCGAGCTTGGGAGTAACTAATGTGGGGAACGGTATGATGCATGTACGATGCTGCATCCACCGTATGTGGAAGATAGGGAATTTACCCATTCCGTTAAGTAAAAACAAATGTTTATGTAGTGGAATGCAATTGTTTTGTATCCCAGTACAGTGTGCCCTTGCGTTAACCCAAGTTACCTATAACAAACAAGCTTACCAATTTTTTTTGCAGGAAATGATATATTTATTCAATAACAGAATACCACATCTATTAGCAGGCCTAGTGTTGCCAAGGCCAAAAATAAGCCTACTCAGTGCGGGTGTTGCCTAGCTGCTAAACCGGTGCAATGTATTCTTCAATGATACACTGGATTAAACAACGCTTAAAAGACCGTATCAAACACCATATCTGCACAAACCTAATGAGTGGACACGTCTAATGCATGTGCGCATGCCCATCCTCATCCAGGTACCCAAACACCTTGAGAGGATCATGACCAAAATCAATGTGCCTGAAATCATCCTCACATCCCCCAACGCCGCCTCCACCAATCAGCACACCCCTCCCGCCCTCCACATGATCATGTGCTTGTAACGCAGGGCTGTCCTTCCCCCCCTCCTGGGACCAGCTCTTGCTGCTGGAATCCTCCTGATTAGAGTCATCCCCCTTAGAGTCACACCTCGTTTTAGCACCAAATTTCGGGTACGCCGCACCACCTAGGGATTGCCCCATCACCATGCACCCCTGATTGCTCAGGATCAAACCACTGCCGTTGGATCGCCTGGTGACTTCTTTTCCAGGCAGCCCGCTACCATCCACTCCACCCCCCTGCTGGGATTTCAGCTGCCCCCCAGCACTCGCACGACTCCTGCTGCCGCCCTCCACAGCACAGGAAACTCTTAGCTCTGGACCGAACCCAGTGGACCCACCACCATACACTGCCCGTCCCACCAAGTCTCCTCCCCTTTCTCCTCCCTCCCCTCCTGCTTCTGCCAACCCTGCTCCTCCTGCTGCTACCCCTGCCGCCCTCTCCCTCTCCTCCGCGCTACTATTCACTGACCCTGCCCGGGCAAGAGACAAGGAGGGCGGCAGCATTTGTTGTTGCTGTTGTTGCTGTTGCTGCTGGCCGGCATTGTTTGGCATCATCTGCAGAAACGGATAACCACCACCGCCTGCTGCTGACGTGGCAAGATGGGATGGAGCATAAGGAGAAGTCGAGGAATGGACGCCAAGGGCAGGAGAGGTATGGTTGAAGGGCTGACTGAAACCCGCACCTCCCATACCCGAGCCTGCTGCCGAACCTGTCCCCGGACCAGGATAAGGCGGGACGTTCATGGGATAGCCTCCCATGCCCATCCCCATACCCATGTTGTAGCCAGCATATGATGACGTGGCAGGGGCGAAGGTTCCCGGATGCTGCATTGGCATGGAGAATTGGCCATGCTGCTGGTGGTGAGGCATGGGCCACTGCTGCATCCAACCCATGGGGCCAGGTCCGGGAACCGAACCTGGAGCTGCAGGTCCGGAGCCATGCGGTGGCGAGCCTAGCCCCGAGCCCAGGGACATGTGAGGAACAGAGGAGAGGGAAGGCTGCGCGGAATGGTCTACAGCCCAGGGGGGAATACCTGAGGGAGCGCCTGAGGGACTGTTGGTGGTGCCCCCGAAGGGCATAGTGGAAGGAACACCTGAAGGAACACCTGAGGGGGTACCTGGGTTACCAGGAGCGGCAGAGGCGGAATTAGCGCCAGGATTGGCAAAAGCATGGACGGGGAGAGGTGGGGAGACCGACGTTTCACACTCCTGCTGCTGCTGCTGCTGCTGCTGCTGTTGTTGCTGTTGCTCTTGTTGTTGCTGCTGCTGCGCCTTAGCACCGGGACGGAAGGGGCACCGCAATTGGTGGATGTTCCTCAAGTTCCGGTCCGTAAATGCGTTCTTCCACTCGCGTCGCGGGCAGCCCTCATACGGGCACTTGAAAATCCGGTGCTCGGGAACCAAATCCCTTCCTCCCCCCGTAGCGTCTCCCGCTGCGCCATCCCCGTTTCCCCACGGCAGCCTCGCATCCTCGTTAAGAGAAGCCTCGTTTCCGCTCGTGTCAATACCTCCGGCTGATGCGGAGTGATTTCGATTCCCGCCATACGAGCCGACCGCGGAGTATGCGCGCTTAAGCTGCCCGTTCAGCTGCCCGTTCGGCAAACTTCCTCCGCCAGCGCTGTTGCTGCCGGGGCTGTTCGTTCCATCCAAGCCGCCGCGATTCCCGCCGTCGTATGCGGCGAGAGAGAAGGGAGCCATGTTCGTGGCGCCACTGTCGAGCGCCTGCCGGTCCATCGGACGTTGGCCGTCAGAATTGCCGGCTCGGAGCAGAGGCGACCCACCAGCGCCGTTAGCGTTGGCGGAGTTCTCATGAGCAAACGCGCGGAGGATTTTGAGACCGTTACCGCGCTGGATAGATGACGGCAAGCCGCTAGCGTTGCTGCCGGCAAGCGCAATCATGCCGCTGCTGACGCTATTGCTGTGTGGGAGACAGTTCGGGCCAGTCCGGCCGGAAATGGCAGCGGAATTCCCGGGATCGCTTCCCGCCGTCCCGATAGCCAACGTACCGTTAGTAGCCGCCTCTTGTTTGCATAAAGCCTCCTCGTTATCGAGAACCATGTGCCAGATGCTGGTCTCCCGAGCCGTCATCTTGTCCTGCAGGCACTTGCTTTGCCGAACCAGCTTCCGAGGCTTCGCAATGTTGGGAGCCATATGACGAAGCACCGAAGTCAGTACACCAACCTTCCACGCCTTTTTCAAATCGTGAGGCTTCTTATAAGGGGGCGAACCGCTGCCCCGCGGAAGGCCCAGCTGCGGCCACCAGGTTTCGTTCCCCGTAGGCCACCACGGCGGGGGTACACCTTTTTCCAACGGGAACCGTCTTTGTGGCGGGTCGCAGTGTTGCATTAACGCGGACAAAAGTGAACCCAGAGTTGTATCTTGCAAATCTTGAAGTGTACGGGGTGTAGAAATCGAACCAGGCCCAACCAATGGCACGCCGCCAGGCCCAACCACCACCCCACCCGCAACACCGCTCCCGTCAACCCCTCCCCCGGCAGCCGCAGCCGCTTCCATTTGCATCACCATCATTCGCCCCGCTTGCGCCGCTGCTTGCTCTTCGTTATACTTCGCGACCGCGGCCGGGCCGCTGCGATCGAATTGAACCTCGTCCTTCCACCAGCTGCGGAGATTGTCTGACGAGCCGCCGACGGGCTTGCCCTTCTCCGGGATGATTCCGTACACGAAGCCCTGCGCGTTGCACGCGTCCATGAGCTTGAGCATGTATTTAAGAATGCCGTCATGAGCGCGCGACATTTTTTTCCTCCGAGCCGCATCTTGCTGGAAAATACAGAGAGACGAAGGGGAAGGCAGCGGGGGGTGGGAAGGAGTGAGATAGGAAATAAGAACGAATGATTGCTGAGATACTATGGTCTGACAGCTCAGCTCCTCTGATAAATCGTGGCAATTGTGGGAAATATACTCAGTATAGCCTGGCGATGGCTGTGTGACAGCCTCAAATAGACGCGATCATACTTAGCGAAGCCGTACGTCCCGCACCTGAGACTGCGTCGGCCTATGCTTCTGCGGCTGCTGATCCTCCTCCTCCTCCTCATCCTCCACCGCCCAATCCGGCCGGCACTTCAGGCTCCCGAACTCGCCATTCTCCCCCGACGACGCGGCGCCGGCCGCGCCCGCCGCCGCCGCCGCGGTCGACGCGTCCTTAATATGACGCAGCTTGAGTCGATCCTTCCACATGCGCTGCTCTAGCTCCTGCACCTCGAGATCTCCTTCGGACGGATCGTGCGGCTCGTCGCCTAGGAGCAGATCGGCTACTTCGCTCATGTCGATCTGTCCAGCTGCTGGGAGGTGACCATCCATGACGGGATTATCTTGTCGCGTGTATAAAATATGTTCAACTCGTGTTGAGAGGGTTGCCCGCGCTGTTCCGCGGGAGCGACACAGTGACCTGTCGCGTGGCGGGCTCCGTGAGCGTTCACAGTCACCTCAGTGAGAGTCACGACTGGTGAGAGGTTTAATTGAATGTAATTGAAATGTCTTTTTGCCGACTGGCGTCTTCCTGCTCCTGACGTATTTCTGGTGCTGGGGTGGAAAGTGAGGTGTTAGCGGAATGCTTGCCGAGAATGCAAGTGACTGCTTCGGCCGCAGTCGCACAGCACGATCTAGCGGTCAGAATGAGTCGTTCTGAGAAGATGACATGCCTCCGTGCGGCATACACCCACCCACACTCACTCTCTCTCACCGCTGACTGATGACGAGAACGAACATCGCTGGAAGTCTGTCAGAGCCACCCCAGCAGTCAGGCTTACACAATTCTGGGAAAAGGGGAAACAATCTATCCGTCTTGATGCGGGCTGGAATTCTGGGAAAAAGAAGCTCGGGAAAGGAAGAGCTTCATGCAAAAGGGATGCTGGTCATGTAAAGGCATTTAGGGTGATTAATGATGAAATGTGAATACACCTGAAACTTGGATTTACAAAACAATATCTCAAGCTCATGCTGATTGTCGATTGAGGGCGATACCGGCAGATTTTACAGACATTCAGTTTCAAGTCTAGTAAGGATTCAACCAATTTCGTATTTTTTTGGACCCCAAACAGAGGGATTCATGGAAAGACAGACTGGGACAGTTCAGGTTGGGAAAGAGCGCGCAGGCGCTGAGTCGACTGGTTTGCGGGGGTGCAAATAGTGCTGGATGAATCTGGCTTGGAATTCAAGGCGAGGGGAGAAAGCGTGCTTTAACATTGTTATGGCCTTTGGCCCTTCGTCACAAGAAAGGCGGTGGATGGTGGTGGGGGCCACTAACGAACTGGTTGGGGCAGGGCAGCACCGAAAGGAACAGTTGGATTGGGTGACGGAGAGGCATTTTGGCGGCTGACTGCACGCGAAGCTAGTTCGGACAAATGGGAGGACATTTCGGAAGCAACGAAAGAACAAAAACAATAAACGTGCTGCTCCAGGTTGGGCAGTTACGGGAACCTCGGGGAACCTTCTTCGTAGATGGCAATCGGACACTGCCAGTACGATCGAACAACTTGGGCAGTAGAACCTATTTTCCCACCTTAACGCTAAGCTCCGAAACAGCTGGTTCCGTAAATGGGAGGATTTTTTTTTCTATTTTTTCGAGCTAAGTTCAGGAACACTCGACTGAATTGGAACTCACACAGTGTATTGCCAGTTATTCCATTGCCCTTATTGGACTGTATTTACAGCTGTTTCGTAACTGTGTCGATGAAGTGCTGCGCGTACGATGCCGCTTCAACGTCCAGGTCAGACATGAACAGAGGTTTCTTTATGGGAAGTCGATTGCAGCGACAAGGAATCCGCCACCCATTTCACGCGTACAGTCTCGGTCGCATCTATGCAATGCGTATATGACGATCTTATCCCGAAGATGTGGCCCGTTGGATGGATGCATCCCGTTCAGATTTCAAGAACTGGGAGACGCAATTCACACAACTACAATTGCATTCTACGGCGGAGATTTTGAGATGCCCAAACCAGTGGATACTTTTCAATATCCACGTCATCGACCCGTCACACCACAAAACCTGAAGTTCCACTTTCATCGCATGTTGATCCCCGTCGTGCCCACCAGCGACACAGCAATAACACATGAACAGAACACCATTACTTTCATTCAGCACAGCATCACGGGTGGATTTCTATACGCTGTACCGAATTTCATCATCCTGATATTGAATTGACAAGGATGTGGTTCAAGCTCCGAAAAAACAAATACAATTATGCTCTCAATATTCTACGCTATGTGTCCGTTCAATTCCTATCGAACAACACGGAGTGGCTGTAGTTGATTGTTGTGCATAAAACGTTGGTTATAATTATAAATATCAATTTTCCTGTAAGGATATACTTGTTGAATGTTTCTCATTGTATAACGGGTGTCCATGTTCCACGACGAAGTAGGGCTTCGACTTGCTCATTTACGGCTGCTTGCTACTGCTCATGGTCGTGGCTTTGCAAAGCGTGGTGCACAACCATAGGCTAAGCTCTAGATGGAACTAGAATAACAGCAAGGGCAAGGCCGCGAGTGTAGGAATCGACATCACTTCCTGTGAGACTTGTGAGTCATAACCATTATGTCATAATCACTGTGCAGGAATGATAGGATTAGCAAGAGTTTGGGTACAATTACTAACTCTAGAAGTGCTGTACCCCATAAGGAGTGCCCCATTACAGCCTACAAGTAAGATTGTACTGTCACACCCCCATAGGCTAAGTCGGGGACAACAAGACGGTCACAAGACCAGTCAAGCAAGACAACAAAGCAAAGCAAAGCAAAGCTCAAAGTGGATCTCAAGGACACCACACAATCAGAGCACAAGCAAGCGGCCACAAGGCCAATTCACATGCAGAGTTATAATAGCAAGGCAGTACACTTATCACAACCTAGCAAGAGGAAATATGCATGTATAAATATGTCAAAATGTCATAACGCTTATATTGAGTAGGCTGTAGTGGGGTAGCCCATAAGGGATACAACCCAATTAGGGTTAGTACTTGTACCAACTTTCTGCTCAATGCACTCATTCTCGTTCACTATTCTGACATGGTTTAAGAGCAGGTCCTGTTCCAGGACCGTTTTTTTTTAGGGCCCACCGATTAGTTCGCTGGCTGTAGCGCCCTACCCCACCAGTCGCGCTGCCCTGCCCTGCCCTGCCTGTCGCGCTGCCCTGCTGGCTACGCGCTGCCCTGCCCTGCCCGTCGCGCCGCCCTGCTGGTCGCGCGCCGCCCTCCCCTGCCTGTCGCATCGCCCTGCTGGCCGCCGGGTCGCCCTGCCATGCCCGCGCACCGCCCTGCTGGCCGCCGCGCCGCCCTGCTCTGCCTGCGCGTCGCCCTGCCCTGCCCGCGCACCGCACTGCTGGCAGCCGCGCCGCCCTGCCCTGCATGCGCGTTGCCCTGCCCTGCCCGCGCGCAGCCCTGCTGCCCGCGTCGCCCTGCTGCTGGTGGAGCTGCTGGTGCTGGAGGTGCTGGAGGTGCTGGAGGTACTGCTGGTGCTGGAGGTACTAGAGGTGCTACTAGTGCTGGAGGTACTGGAGCTACTAGTCCTACTGGTCCTTGAGGTGCTGGAGGTGCTGGAGGTACTACTGGTGCTGGAGGTACTGGAGTTGCTGGTGCTGGAGGTGCTGGAGCTGCTGGTGCTGGAGGTGCTGGAGGTGCTAGAGGTGCTACTGGTGCTGGAGGTGCTGGAGCTACCACTGCTTGAGGTAATGGAGCTGCTAGTGCCGGAGGTCCTGCTGGTACTGGAGGTACTGGACCTGCTGGTGCGCTTCGCCACCTTCTCGGTCTTCCGCCAGCTCCTACTGAGTTCCCAGTCGCTGGTACTACTCCTCTGTTACTGTTCCCACAGATCTTGCCTCACTCCCCACTGCCTGCTCCTGCTCCTTATACTGCTGTGATAGAGTCCTTGACTGAGTGTCGAGAGCCTGAGACTCGTGCTTTCACTCTTGAGCTTCGAGAGCCTGAGACTCGTGCTTCCACTCCTGAGCGTCGAGAGCCTGAGACTAGAGCTTCTGTCCGTGCTCGTGTTCCTCGTGTTCGTCGTTCTCGTGCTCCGGCTGTCCCAAGCACTCACAATATGATGCTCCGTCCTTCCTCTGTTCCACAACGCGTTGTCCTGTCGTCACCCCATGAGTCTTCTTTTCCCGCTGTTGCTGACCCTCCGTCTGACCTTGCTCGTGCGTCCAGTCCGACTGTACTCGATTTCTTGCCACGGTTGCGACAGACCCTACGCTCTCGTCTCCTGCTGCGTCTGCCTTAGTCGCTGAGCAAGTTGACCTTGCTGTTGCGTACCGCGTAGACTACCTTGCGAGTCTCGTTTTGGACCCTGACCCTGCATGTCTTCCGTCCGTTGGGGTTGAGGTTGCCCTTGGCTGTCACGTGCTTGAGGACAGGCAGGAGGAGATGGAGTGTCTTGCGGCCGCTGCACCTCATCTCGCGACCATGCTGCTTGCCCTTGAGGGAGACCCGGATGCACTTGACATCCCCACCCCATGCTCTTACAGAGAGGTGATCTCGGTTGAGTACTCCTCTAAGTGGCAGACAGCCATGGACGCAGAGATGGCTTCCTAGAAGTCCACAGGCACCTACGTCGACGAGATTCCCCCACCTGGGGCGAACATCATCAGTGGCATGCGGATTTTCAGGGTGAAGCGGCCACCGGATTCTCCGCCTGCCTTCAAGGCGCATTACGTTGCTCGAGGCTTCAGTCAGCGTGAGGGGGTCGACTTCTTTCAGACCTTCTCCCCTACCCCGAAGGTGACCACTCTTCGGGTGTTGCTACACGTTGCAGCTCAGCGTGACTATGAGATGCACTCCCTCGACTTCTCCACAGCTTTCTTGCAGGGTAGCCTTCACGAGGCCATCTGGCTGCGCCGTCCACCTGGCTTCACTGGGTCGTTTCCTGAGGGTAACCAGTGGAGCCTATGGCGACCAGTTTACGGCCTGCGTCAGGCAACTCGCGAGTGGCACGACACACTGAGGACGACACTTGCGGCTCTTGGATTTGCTCCTTCGAATGCTGACCCGTCGCTGTTTCTGCGCACCGAGACTACCTTGTCGCCGTTCTACGTTCGCGTGTACGTCGACGACTTGGTTTTTGCTACTGCTGACATGGAGGCGCTGGCCCTAGTGAAGGCAGAGCTGCAGGAGAGACACACCTGTACTGACCTGGGTGAGCTGTGGAGCTATCTTGGTCTGCAGATCACCCGGGACAGAGCACGGCGCACCATCACCCTGACCCAGTCACACATGGTGCACCAGGTCCTTCAGCGCTTTGGCTTCCAGTTCTCCTCGCCAGAGCC